TCATTGACTGCGTTTGCGTTCACGCCATTGCCGTTAGAGCGCTTGGAGTCAGGGTTGATGTGGAGGAACTGCTCCAGGGTGAGTGTGTGCACAGGGGCATCAATGCCCGTCTCGCTGACAAGGAAGTCGTGGTAGATGACTGGGACATGGTCCTTTGTGAGCTGCACGTCAAACTCGACATACTGGGCGCCTAGGTTGGCTGCTGCGATGAAAGAAGGTACCGTGTTCTCTCCGAGCTGGAGAGACTTGTTGCTCGTCAGGTTCTTACCCATGCCGCGGTGACCGATGACCATCGTTGTAGCAAGCTTCTTCCAGTAGGTCTGCTGGGAGTTGATCTCCATGTTGGGGTGGTAGAAGGGGGTAACTACGAGGAAGTTGAAGTTGACAGTGCCGATGACGTCCAAGTTGCTGGCCAGGATGGGCACGCAGACGTCGCCCTGGAGATTCATGCGCTTGGCGCCGATGGTGGGCTTGATGGAGGAGAGAAGGGCAACACCACGTCCAATCTTGTTCTTCTCATTTCCAGAGTAAGTTGGGACAATGTCGAACATGATCTTGACCTTGGAGGGGTCCGCGGCCTGGAAGACGATCGGCTCTGTCGAGACGTTCTCGTGGACGGGAAGGTCGACGATAGTCGGCTCGCCTTGAGCGCCACTAGCCGAGACCACGATGGAAAGAGCCGTGTCCAGCTCCGTCAAGTGGGCCTCAGTAAGGGGAACGCGGTCAAGCTTGACTGCTTCGATGTTCTTCCGCATGTCCATTGAACCCAGGCTAACCAGTACCATGCTCTTGTCGGTGAGGTAGCGATGACCGAAGGTCTTGACTGGCTCTAGAGGGCGGGGGGCACCGTTCGACTTGCGACCGTCGAGAGAAGTGTTATTCTCAGGAGACGACGAGCGTGAGTGGTCGCCATTGACCTTGAGCTCTTTGGTGGTTTGGACGAGGTCGGCGGCAGGGTGGGTCGCGAGCAGTCGAGCAATGTCAAGGTGGCCACGCAGCGCAGCGTGCTCCTTGGCAGTCCAGCCTGAAGAATCAGCCTTGGCGACCTCAGCTCCGGCGTCAACGAGCAACTGCGCCACAGACAGGTGGCCGTCGACCGCCGCAACGTGAAGGGGCGTCCAGGCATATGAGTTCTCGCCAATCTCCAAATCAGCCTTCTGCTCATCAGTGCCCTTCAGGAGCACATTGGCAATCTCATCGTGGCCGAAGCGGGATGCAAGATGGAGAGCGGTTTCACCCGTCTTATCCTGCCAGTTGATATCCACGCCGGCCTCGACGAGCATCTCAACGATGACCTTGTAGTTCGACTTGGTGGCCATGGCCAGGACGGCGCCAGACTTGGACACCGTCTTTCTCATCTCGGCCTTCTTGACGCTGACGCCCTGCCAGTTCTCACCCTGGAGCAGCGCCTTTGTAGTCAGGGGGTGACCGCCCACGACGCTCAGGTGCAGAGGCGCGTAGCCATCGTTGTCCTGCCACTCGGGGGCATCAATGCCGTTCTCAACGTTGAACTGGCCCCACTCCTGCATCTTGGCCATGATAATCTGGCAAACGACGACGAAGCCGAAGCGGGCGGCGTAGTGCAGCGGCATGCGGCCGAACGAGTCCCTGCTGCTGAGCGCCTGTCGGTGCTCGGGCTTGAGGGAGTCGAGGAGGTACATGAGGATCTGGACGGCCTCGTCGTCCTTTCCAAGAAGCTTGGTCTCATTTTGGTTGAGCGCGCGGGGTGTGACCGTTTGGGAGGAGGTGGCTGGCTGAAGGTCATGAGAGGTGAACTGAGTGCCGATCGGGAAGGGGTAGGATTTCGGCTCATTATCGGGGTCGTTGGATCTGGTGCGACCGATATGAATGACGAGACGGTGAATGCAGTTCCGCTCATTGATGTCATCAACCTCATGAAGCGAAGGAAGCTGGTCGAGAATGTATGCAATGCTCGCCTTTGATCTCGCAGCGATGGAACGCTGCAGCAGGTTGAGGAGCAGGCTCTGAGAGGCGTGCTCGCCAAGGACATTACTCTCCTCCAAACCAACCTTCAGAGACTCAACATTGTCGTTGCGAATCGCCTGGTCCAAGGTGTCGACCAGGGTTTGCGACAGCGTCAACATCGCCTTAGACGACACGCGGCCCAGCGACCGCACCGACCTGTCGGATCTGGAATCGTCAATGTTGCGGGCGTCGCCCAGCGCAGACAGCCACTTGTTGATCTCGGCCATCAGACGACTTGTCGTCACATTCTGGGCGAATGGCAAGGGGTCGACCTTTGTGGAGATGTAGCGGTGCTGGGAGGCGGCCGCGGGGAGCTTCTTGTCGAGCTTCTTGGTGATCTTGACGAAGCCGCGGCGGTTGATCTCGGCGAACCAGCTCAGGTTGCGCACCTGCACGCGCATCTCGAACAGGGCGGCCATGAGCTCCTCGATTTCGTCATCGTCGAGGTTGGAGACGACGTCGGGGACGCGGCCATAGCGGTCGCGCAGGAGGCTGAGACGGCGGACGCTCTCATGGAGTTTGCGGTTGTAGAAGGCGCCCACGTCCTCGAGGTTGCGGTCCACGGCGAAGAAGAATTCTGCAAAGAAAAACACACATGGTTAGGGGTCTTGAACGGCGCATCCATCATCACAGTCCGGTCCGGCTCGAACCTGCTAAGTCCACCTTCTCTCCATTCCTGGCCGACTGGGCGGCAGCCTTGATCAGCTTCTTGAGGCCCTTGTAGTTGATGTAAAAGGCCGCCCACTCGGGGACTTGGTTGCGGGGTAGGCTGCCATGCGTGTTAGCAAAAGTGTCTCTGTGAAATCGGGGGATAATTATCCAAATGGAATTTGTTTTCAGTCTTATCGCACTTTTTGCTGAACTTCATGGTGTATGATATGAGGGTCTATTTCCGGTTATCAGGGGGCCCGGTGACGATTGTGGCGTTCCAGCGGCAGGTAGGTATGAGCGGTCGTGCGAATCGTTATCGATATCAAAATGACTGTCGTAGACAAATAAACAAAAGGCTGATGAGCGAACAACGCGGTCGAAGAAAATTGAACAGCTGCTGTAAATGCAGATGGGCTAGAGGCCGTAATTGCTCATTTTCTTTCTCGGTGGTCGTTTCTTGGGGGTATCGGAGTTAGTCTGAAGAGGTTGTGGCTGTTGTAGTAGCGAAGCGCAAAGGCAACCAAGCTTCGAGTTCCGCGCGTAGCTCCGAGCTGCGATTGTTTTTTGGCAGGTGCCAATTGTGTCTCCGTCAAGGAAGCTTTCTTTCTCTTGTTTTTCTGCGGTCCCGGGGTTTTCCAGGTGCAAGTCACGAGAATCCTGTCGGTTTTTGCAGGACGAAGGAGCTCCACATCCAGCTCGCCATTGATTGACTGAAGGATTTGATGACGATGTGTTTTTTGATCTCTCAGGCAGAAGACGCAGCAGAGAATCGAAAGAAGAAGCCGAGAAGCAGCAATCTGGGTCCAGGGAGCATCGGTCGGTGGGTTGGAGGGGGATTATGAATGAAAGCCAGACAGCTCAGTGACCAGACCAGACCGACCCGGACGTGAAAAGTGACGGAAGCATGCCAAAAAAGAGAAAAGAAGAGGTGTGAGCTCATCTCACATCCACCAGGCCGGCCAAGTAGCTGGGTCCAGGCCCCGAGGTATTCCTGCGCCGGTCGTTGTGTATCTCGTCACCTGGGAATCGCTGCGCAGTGACTACCGAGTCCTCGGGACAGCACCTGATTAGATGCGGTGGGGTACCTGCTACGGCCACGGCACCTGCCTGGCTCTGGATGCGCCGCCGTCTCTTCCCCCCTAAAAAAAGGCAGGGCACCAGCAGCCAGCTTCATTCACCTCACACACACAGTACAATCGTCGGACACAGTAGCGACCGCGCCGCCAGCCCAGCGCCAGTCCCTTCTGAACGTGACTGCGCACACTGGCTGGCACACTGGGCCCAGCAGAGGGAAAAAGGCAAAGGACAGCTCGGGGTGTGGCGTTATCGCGCCGGTGAGTCGAGCCACTGGGAAGCCGCCGTTGGCCGCCCGTGGAGCGCGGCCGACTCGTGATTCGCGGGGTCACGGGACTGCCGCTCCACCGCGGCTTCAGCTGGCCGGCCTGTCCATGTCCACCCCGCCGTTGGTGTAGCACAAATCGCCCGCCCATCCCATCCCATCCTTGGCACGCCGCACCGTGGCTCTCCCAAGCGTCTCTGTTGGTCTTCCAGTCTTTCCGCTAAGGTACCGTACTACTGGACGGGTAGAACCAACTGACAAAGCTCACTCACTCACTGCTCCCTCCCAGTGTCGGTACATACAGTGACAGACAGCACCCTATCTCGTCCTCACCGATGCATCGTGGGAACTGCACCGCACCGCAGTAGTCCCCTCCCCTTTCACCCCCCATCTCAAAACAGATATGTGGTCAAATCCCCCCCTTTCCGGCATCTGACTGTCGTAAGGGTGGGAAAGAAAATTCCTGACCGCCTCGACGCTTGACGCTTGTCAGGTCGTTCGTCCTCATGACCTCTCCGGGGGCGGGAAGGACCCTGAAAACCGACATCGGTCGCCCTCCGTGGCCCGTCCAGGCTGAAAGGTCCATCGTGAGGTACCGCTGCTAAAAATGCCCATGGCCAAACACCCCAGTCCCCTCCCACTCAACGGCGAAATGATTCTTTTCCGCGGTGCGGTGCGGACGAACTCCTGTGACTGACCAGCAGCAGCCGCGGCGGCGGCGGGCGGCGGGCCACAAGGCGAAGGACCACGCAGAACGGGGAGGAGAGGGCTCCACACCGGATCTGGTTCCCTTCGATGCATGTTCCAAGTTTTAGAATTTTAGGGGTCCTGTTGCTGCCACCTGGGCAGAGACGGGCAACCCAGGAAAACCTCGGCATCCCGGCCTTGCAGTGGCGGGGGACCTGACAAAGAAGGGGAACATGAGGAGGGAGGGCATCGTGGTCGTCCGGAAAACACGAATAGACCATTGCCTTGCTAACGCGCCGTAGTGCTGACTGACCTGATGGAAATGACCAAGTCGACGATGGGTTCGATGGAAGGATGGCTGGTCGACGCGGTGGGCCTCGCAAAACCCGGATGGAACACGAGTGACGATATCAGCCAACCTTTCGGATGCACGATGCACCTGCTGGAGTCTTTTTTCTTCTTCAACAACCCCGCCCCAACTCCCTGTGGAGGTCGAAGAGGAGAACGGAACGACGCCGCCAATCCTTCTCGTGCGTGAATCAGTCATACTGGGGGCCGATGGCAATAACGGCAACGTCGTTAGACATGTGGCTAATTACAGTGCACTACTGCGTAGAAGGGGAATGGGTGCCGTGGCCAAACATGGGACCAAGGACCCGGTCTACTACGCAGTGCTAGTCTTTTTAGACTCTCGAGTTCCTGGGAAATACCAGACTTGCGGCTCACGACCGTGACATTCTTGTCGCCTCAGTGCCACAGGTAAAGGGGGCACAGAGTTCGGTGGCAGGTTCAACCTTTTCACGAATGGACTATCCGTACCGCCGCTCAATCACGCAAAACCGTCAACCTCCACCACCACAAGCCAACTGGCTGGCTTCAACGGTTCCATCGGGCCAATTCCCCGTCTGGGACCACGGCACGCCCTCCCCCTCTCTTCAGCTGTCTGTCGGCTTGTGCAAAACTCTGGGCTGCAAATTGACTTTCCATCTCGTCTTCCAATTTGTCTCTGCCATTTATCATTTCTCTCTTACCTTTACATAGTGTATACTCTTCCTGCTGTCAATCCGGGTCAACGTCAGCGCTGGAGGAAAACTAAGCAACCGAATGCCTGCCAGAATGATATCACACGTAACCCCATCCCGCACCCTCCAAACGACTGGTAACCACCACAACCACACGCAACCAACATAGTTCATCCCTGCGGCGCGGAACGCTCTGAACTGCAACTCTGCGTGTGGCATTTCCCAGCGCACTGTCGCTGCGTGTACCTTGGCAGAACCCCAGGCACAGGCACGGCGAAAGAAGCGCAGTGCAGTTAGGTGCGCAGTCACGCAGTAGGTAGGTCGTTTGAGCCAAGGAAATCGCCCCAAACCATATGCTGTCATGTACGACAGTGCATCGCAGCGCGCCTGCCATTGGCTGTCGCCTCTTCCGCTGATGATGATCTACCCGCCGGCTCCCCGTTCCGGTGCCTGAACCGCAAACGCACCGCGCCGAAGGGCATGATGATATCGAGTAGTTCCCAAAGTTGGATTCTCTCGCGAAAGAATCAATTGGAGAGGTAATCTGAGGCCTTGCAGTGTCATTGACGCTTTATGCACGCACTCATTATTCTTCCTCCATTTCATCCCGTCTTGCTCTCGCATATCCTTCGCTGTCTTGGCTTGATCTTTAAGCTCTCCTGGAATCTGCACTTCCGGTCAAGACAGCAGAGACAGCAGAGACAGGAACGACACCGGATCATGGCGGAGAAAAGTGCCGGTATTGTATCACGAAGAGCAAGGAGTTTGACGCGTCGCTTTGTACATCATCGTGTTCTAATTGAATGTGTCAAGAAAATTGGTCTTTATGACCGGCGTCCCGTGCCTGATATCAGGTTCGCCATAGGCATGCTGTGCATGCGCCAATGAACATGTTCGCCATCTTGATTCATCCAAGATGCCATGCTAGAAATAAACGCGCTCCTGTCTTCCTATGCTTGCAGGCTGCTCGCGGCGGCCAGCTGTCCTTCCCGTTCCCACCACATGCCTTGCTGAGAGACGTGCTCTCCAAATGCCGCAACTTCCTCTGGCGCCTCCTCTTGCGTCGACGGTGCGGGCAGCGCAGCTTGCGCTGCCTTCTTCGTAGCCCTCTTCCGCTTTGCTTTATCTTTGCCATTCGCTTTAGCTTGCTCCTTCATGCGGGCGGCGTAGACGGCTTCAGACCGATTCCTGCTGAAGATCTTCGACTTCATAGTGTTCAGATCTTGATGCCAACTCCTAATCTTCACATGCGACTTCTTGGTCTGCTGCATGATGCTGACGATGCGTAGACCTCGCCTTTGCGTCTCGTCTCCTAACCGGGCCTCGTCCACTCGCAGCCACCGCAGCCACGGGGTCACAGAATACACCGTCCGATCAAGCAGGCAGATGTCAATCAAGTTTTGAATGCCCCTTGCGAGATCTTTCTGGTGCCTGTATTCCCCGAAAGCTGGCGCGATGAGTTTGGGTTTCATCTCAATAGCGTGCAGGAGCTGCTGTGCAGCGGTAGTGTCCAAGGTGTATGTCACCTGCTCGAGCAAGTGCGTGGTCGTTTCGGCGCTAAAGGTGATGCCGTGCTTGAGGCCGACGGCGAAGGCTGCCGCAGCTTGTCTCACGTAGTCGAACCTCAGCAAGCCATGTACCATAGCCGTGAACATGTCGTGGTCGAGCCATGCTCGCTCGGTCACGTAATCGTTGTTGATGGCAACATTCTTCAGCGCTGCCCATGTGAGCCACCGATCATCTTCCTCAACTTCTTCGATTGCCTTCCTCCGTATGCAGATGCCGCGTGGATCCTTGCCCGTCATGCGGTGAATAGCGCCAAAGAAACCCCTCGCATCACCAGTCCCCTTAAAGTGATTCAGCAGACAGACCAGCGTCTTCCTTGTTGGTTCGACTCTGGAGTTGTAAAAGGACCGTACTACTCTCTCGGCCAAAGGATGTAGCCCGTTGCGGTTGAACCCTGCGATGAGGGTGTTGTATGTAAAAGTAGTGGGCGGTTGCGGTGACGCCAAAAGGTTATAGCATATCTTGCCAATCTTTGTACGTTGGTCATAGTCTGTGCTGGCGAAGACTGAGCCTATGATGGAGTTGAGCTGGGCACTGTTTTTCTTGACGTCAATCATGTCGGTTTGGCGCTCGTAGTACGGCAAGTTTCCCTGCCTGAGTTGGCCAACCTCTTCCTGAAGGTCATTCCAGTCGCTGGGCCCCAAAATGTTTCTAGATTCCTCAACAATCCTATCAACCAAACTCCCCATATTCTTTTCTGTAATCTGAAGTTGAACGAAGTTTTTGGGCGCACGGTGGCTCATCAGCGGATTTTGTAGTCGCTCTTCGTCCATCAGGAAGTCGTCCGTTTCTGTGTCGTTGGTCTCGATCAGCTTGGCGAAGGGATCTGTGTAGCCGAAATCGCCTGGCGCGACAAACGCATCGATTGGTTTTTCGAAACCCAGTTCCTTCAGCAGGCGTTTGATCTCGACGTTCCTGCGAAGCGTTCTGCCGTCCGTATGACTGAGCGAGTTCAAAAACTCCGCAATCTCGCCCTTCTGCGGCTTGTGGTCGAATAACGCGCCCTTATACCGATTTTCGAAGCTTGCCGGCGGCGCCTCGCCCGGCTTCACATCTTGCGGCACGCTCCTCCTCATATTATCGAGCTCCAGCTTCGCCTGCGCGATTTCCTCTTCGAGCCTCAGCCGTCGCTCGTCCTTGGCCTTCGCGTCAAGCACAGCGGCGGACGCCATGATGCCCGTGTAGCAGGCCGTGAACATTTCGCCAAAGGTCGGTTTCCGGGGCGTCACCCGCGTCGCGGACTGTCGTACCATGCCCCCCGCGGCTTTGAAGCAGGCCTTGCAACCGCAATGAGGCGCCTGGCCCGCTCTGGACCAGATTGCCTGCATTCTGACGGCATTCCGGCTGCAAAGGCAGCCCCAATTGAGTGCGATTGATCGTTTCGAAGGCGGGTGCGGGCGGGCGTCGGGGGGCCTTCGGCGTCGAGATTATGGTCTGATGCGTAAATAATGTCCTTCCAAGGGCCGAGCTGCCGAGCCCGACCCAATCGAAGATCCGGTGATATCAAAATTGCTCTTATGCGATAAAGCGGGGGTAAATATTTGGCTAAACGTGCCTTTCGCTTACAGAAGTGACGCAACTGCCCCTCCAACCCCACCATCGAATGCTTCACTGTGAGCTCAGAGGGGCACCCTGCAGCCTCAAGAAACACTCTAAACATCTGATCCTGTGAGACACAAGGGGCAAAAGAAGTATATTCACAATGTTCGCCCTTTATCTTACTGCAGAGCTGGAGGGGTAGGTTTTCCATCGCTGGCTTCTTGATTTGACTCTCGCTGACCTCAACAGGGTCACGAACCTTCGCCCCGATGACAGCGAGGGTAACCCCTTCTGGTACACTTTCAAAGTCCAGTGTACCTCGTGCCGTGAAGTCCACGACAAGACCGTCGGTGTCAACCGATTTGTACGTTAAACCCTCTACCCAAGTACTGCATAGTTACTCACTGTAAACCAGGAGAACAACGAGATGAGCGGTAGCAGAGGGGAGGCCAACTTTGTGTGGAAGTGCAAGAACTGCAAGCGCGAGTCTTCGGCCTCTATCAAGGCCGCCCCCGCCGCTTATGAGCAGGGAGAGCCCGCCAAGCAACAAAAGGTCATTGAGTTCGACTGCCGAGGTCTGGAGTTTGTTGACTTCATTCCCGAGGGAGAGTGGCTTGCAGAGGGCGCGGATTCGGGCACCAAGTTCACGGCCATCGAGCTTACCGACGGAGAGTGGTTCGATTATGACGAAAAGGCCGGCGAGGAAGTCAGCATCAAGGAGCTGAAGTGGGAGATCAAGCGTGCTTAAATGGATTCGAAAAGTCTTCAGGGAAGTGATACCGGGTGGCGTACGGGTGGGAGGGGAGTTGTTGTGTGTGCAGTCGTCTACAGTTGGAGAGCGCAAATACCATCATGGCGCTACGTTTGGCCGACTGATCTCGGCGATCCCTTTTGAAAACGTTGATACAATGAAAGTCATCCGCATCTACAACGTCGTCGAGACCAACATGTATCGGGTATTTAACCTCTAACCTAACGTAATTCTACAAGGTGGTGTTACCGACCTTCTTATTCCATGCATTTCATCATCAGACATCACGAAGCCAACCCGCCGTTCTGCCATGTACCTTCTTCTATGCAATTCAAGCGAGCTGTCTTGAAGGCTCGCGCCCCACACTTCTTCTTCGCGCTGGAGCATGAGGAATGCGTATTGATTCCTGTTCGCGACCAACAACATGCCTGGGTTGGACGCAAACTTGCTTCCTGGGGAAATCAGTCAACCCTCCATTGCCTTCACGTCTCATCAAGCGTTGTCGTGGACGATGTCCAGGTCTCCTGTTTTCTGTCCGCAAGGTCGATATCCAGGCCTTGAAACTCGCAAACGTGATAAGATCGTCCCTCATCATTTCTAGTTGTCTTGCCGCATGACATTGTCCAAGACCTCAATGAAGATGCCCGTGAACTCTGGCAACGCAGAACGAGGCAGCTTTCAAATAACTCTTCCACAGACCTGAGGTTATTTAGGAGACGTCCAGATATAGTGCGAAAACTGGCGATGCCTCTCATGCCCCGTCCCTGAATCTAGCACAATCGCGAAGACATTTCCCGTCG